CGCCCGCGCATCGTGCCAAGCCCGCGTACAGTGACCTACCACGACGTGCTCTAACCTACTGCGTTGCTGCACCCGCGCGACTTACCTGTATGCTGTGTGACAGCGAGTAACCCACTCACCTGTGTTTTCGTGTACAGACAGCGATACCCTACCTGTTAGCGAGGCTCACGGTGGCTGAGAGTACCGAGGACAGAAAGGGATGGTGAGAGGAGGGAAGAAAGGGTGCATCAATGGGAGGACGGCTTTCGCCCACTATATATAGAGCATCGCGAACACCAATGGCGTCATGGACGAAGGAGCTGGGGACGAGATCGAAGGCCAGGCAAGAATGGATATGGTGAGATAACCGTCGGTCGGCACACAGGGAGGCATATATGTGATAGATGTGGATGGAACAGTACATATACATCGGACACCGGTTTAATACTATCGATCGACGTCAAACGGCCCATTGTACATATAGAACGGCCCATTGTATATATCAAACGAGCCAATCGATGTATGTAACGAGCCATTTTAGACGCCGAGCTGTCATCTAAATCGCTCCGAAAAGACGGCATCAGACGGCAACAGCCAGCAATCTTTGGCAATAGGCGGGGTTTTCACTGGGTGTCACTGGCCACCTGAGATGATGTTGTCACACACACGGGGAAAACTACGACAATATATTGAAATACATTGCACAGCGCAACCATCATTATTCTTACGACACTTGGGTAACAGTGCATGCGTGAATCAAACACCATGAAGGCTGAGCGCAACTAGTACACCCTGCGATGGTTCGACAACCAAGACGATAAGAAGGGGAGTCGGAAGAGACAGTACATCGGAAACACTACGCTCTTCGTATATGGAACCGCATAGCGTACGAAACCCCCAGGACCATCCTTGGCCACCCATCATCTCAACCCAGCGAGACGACGACACGGTGCCGAAGCGATTAGGGCTCAATCTGCGTACTCCCGTCTTCCACGTGCGACGTGACCCTGTAGTGAGAACAGCTGCGGACGTAACGCGGGAGAGCGACGCGACGGGAGTTATTCTGGGCCTGTCTCGATGCGTTCTGCGATGATACATTATAGTACAGCGCACGAGACAGGCACGGGCTATAACATGTGGTGCCAGACGCGGATGAACTTCAGGCTGGCGCGAACCAGATATAGGGAAGAGCGACGGAGTCGGGGGAGTGATGGAAAGGAAGCTCCGCCCGACGTCTAGTTGAACCCGTCGAAGTGTCCCTTCAGTATTCTCTCGCCCATAGGAGAAGGAGCACGCGGTGGCCGTGACGTCCCGGCAGCCATTGTGTTCGATCTCCGGGCCTTACGCATAGGGGTAGAAGGCGCGCCGGTAGAGTTAGAGTTCAGGGTCGGAGGCGTCTTACTGCGAGATGGCTGTGTGGTTCCGTTCGGCGGCCTCGGAACAGGGAGGATTGGTGGCTAAGAACACACGACCTAATGTTCACCAGTGGGGTACAGTACAACGTCGGCATATGAAGCTTACCTTAGTCATGTTCCCTCCCAACGAAAGACGACGGAGAAGACCAGCAGCGCGCTCCTGCTTGTCGTTGGGTACGGGGGCAACAGGAGGGAAACGGTCGTGTCCGGGCCAAGCAGCGGCACTAGCACGCCGACCGTGCCGCTGAATAGGCTGGTCTGCCTCAGAAACCTCGTCCTCTGGATATCTGATGAGCTTGACATTTTTTCACGTGAAAGTCGCGTGAGCAACGTACCTTCGTAAAGAGGCGGACCCGTCATGCCCCTCCTGAATGGGAATGTCGCATTCGGAGGGGACTTGGGGGGCTGGTTGCTCAAGAAGTAGGAGAGGATAGGTGAGGTTGACGGGCTGATTGGCGCAATGCGGGGTAGAGCGCCTGATGCGGGGGTTTGGACGGGAGACACGGGGGACACTGATCCAGAGTCCGAGCTCGAATCCGAGTCTGAGCCCGAGCGACCACGACCGATGGGAATGGGGAGCGAGCGAGGAACGTTGTTCTCGTTGGAGGACATTGTGAAAAACTGTGTATATTCTGTACTGCAAGGATGGAACGCGAGACTGGACAGGGAGCGTAAGAGTAAGAAAAGTTTGAGACGCGGACAGGGGTCTCTGCTTATATTCATCGCGTACAAACTCCGATCTAATGGGCCCTGCACTCCAAGTGACTCGGCACTCGCCGCCCCTTCCTTCCATCACCTCCTGCTCTTCTGTTATTCTCATGTCTCCGCACAAGTGGATATCCGCATCCCAACCTACCGACCGCGTATCGAGCATATCCACATTGCGACCGCAACTCTCCCGGAGTTGTGAAAGTCTCTCGCAACCCTGCGCCTGGAATCTCAGCGACACTAACCTACAAATGTCTCGGCCCCTGTCTACCCCGCTAAGCCTCAGTTCTGTAAGCCACTTTGTCCCCGTGATGATTGACCGTTGTCGCTGTCATCATCATGCCACCTCCCCGACAGGCAGGTCGCGCCCAGGGCAGTGCCAAGATGCCGCGCGCGTGCCCTTGTCTAACATCTGCATCCCACCATGATCATAAGTCTAATTCTTTCTCGGAGTGTGCGTTCAAACCAGACTCGTACCAGCCAAAACTCAGCCATCTCAATCTTACCGATATTGAGAAGCCTTTGGACCACAAAACTCGACATATATCCACCAGTCCCCCCACACTTTCACGGTGGTCCCATTCACTAAAGCGCAAGACTCCTGCGCTCCGCCGCCTTGGTACGCCGCACCGTGACCTTGCATGACGTGATGTCCAGAAGATAAGCACCAGGGCGGCGGTAACCTCAACTCAAAGCCTGCTCACATGTCCTGCCGAACTTCTTCGCCCATTTATTCCTGCAAACCTTGTGCTCGGGCCTGGTCCTGCCTCTGCCCGACCCGTCCTCCGCATTGCTTCTAGCCTGTCCGTTGGAATCGTGTCGATCGAGAACGAGCATGGCAATGCCGGTTTTCGGATGCCTTTGCCGTGGCGTCTTGCCCCGGACTGTCAAAGAGACTGACGGCTGTGCGCACGTAGCGTCTGGCGTCGGTACCAGCACGCACACCGTTCTACCCCCGCGTCCGTGAACGTCTGCGCTCGGCGTCCGCGCCGGAGGTCAGAGTCTTGGCATCATCTCACAGACCCTGGTGAAAAGAGAGGGACTGGAAGCTTCACGAACTCGCAGGGTCCCTTCGAGCTTCTGCTTCCCGGAAGCCGCCTCATGTACTGTGTATGAGGATTGCGAGACACAGAGCCAGAGCCAGAGCCAGAGCCCTACTGTCCACACTGATCGTACGGCACACGGCGTCTGCACAAGCGATTGGATCACTAACGGGATAGTAGGGCCGCTCAATTCTTGAGGACGCAGGACGCAGGACGCACTCAGAGCTCATTTGATGGATGTGATGGGCTAGCCGAACCTGCCGCATATGGCAAGGTACCAACCTCATTTCTTGTGCCCGCTGTTTTCCAAGGGGTCTGTCGTGTCTCAAACCTAACAGAAAAATATGAATCGCGAGTATGTTGAAGACGAAGGCTTTCCGCATCGATTGACACTACCCTTGAGGCACTTTGTGAGGGGGGATGAGTGTTATCGTCGCTCGAGGGGTTTCGAAGGCGAGCTCGTCGGCTAGTCTCGCTTAGCCCATCACCTCCATCAATGGCCTCTGAA